CGAAATCGGCATTTTAACAAGATTCTCAGGTGAAGGCATCTTTTCCTTCTCCAGAGGACTGTGCTGCCCACAATTAAATGCAGTATTTAAAATTCTCAAAATAATTATGAAAACTTTTATCACAGCGTGACTGACAGAGGAAGCTGTCTGGTGATCACATTTTCTTTCCCTGTTTTTCAAATGCCATTAGTTAACTGCCTGATTGAACCTTTCCAAAGACAGCCATCGAAAGTCGTTTTTATAAACATGAGAAAATCAGATTTCTAAAGTTCTTACGGAAGCAAATAAACTGAGTTTCAAAACTGGCCTCTTACAGCTAATGCTTACATAAATATGGTGGCAAGTGCAAAGTCAACAATGCCGTGTGCAACAAAACGGCAGAGAATCTGATCTCCCACTACTGACTCAAGGGTGGCCTTAGCAGAGGCATCAGTGAAAGAGAAGCCAGGGACTGGAACTGGGGCTGGACGCAGGTGTGTCACAAGCTGGCTGTGTGTCTCTCCTCCTCCTCGGACCGTGGTCTCCTCATCTGTGAAATGAAGAACTGCTGCGCTGGCTTTTAGAGCTTCCAGATGTTCAGCATTCTAGGATCAAAGGAGCTACAGCACTCTGGGAAACCTAACGGCCCTTGATTCCCTGCATTTAACCCTGCCTTTGTTACCACAACCACCCACGAAAGGGCAAGGGGCTGGAAAACCACTGTCTAAACGGCAAGCGGGGGACTGGAAATACCTCTGGTGGCAGCCGGCAGGTGCGGGCTTTAGGGCCAGCAGGGTGAGCAGCTCGTGCTCCCTGTAAACAGATGGCAGCTCAGCCCAGCTGCTCACAGATCAGAGAAGCATGGGCTGCTCAGCCACGTGCAGTTACGCGTAAAATACGGCAAATCTAAAAATAGCCTGAGCTCAGCCACAGAGGTTAATCCTGTCAATGGCTTTTAACTCAACTGTCAGGATGACAGGAAGGGGCGTAACTATAGCAACCAAAAAATGAACACGTAAAACAAGTCTTCTGAAGTTGACAGGGAAGTTAGGTTTAACAAAACATGTATTTTCAATTCCTGTCTCTCAGTCTTTGAATTCAAGCAGTTCAATTACGTGGAAGTCAGAAAATTAGAATCTTGGTAGCGTTTCGATAAAACAAATATTCCTTTCGATGAAACAAAATCCAAAGTTTTGGGTTCCAGGACCATAAGGAAAGAACTGCTAACCTGTCAATGTTATTACCTCTATAATTAAAGGACCATTTGAACAAATGCCTTTATATAACTTTTAACTGAGAGGTTTTTCTCTGTATTTGTTCTGGCAGTTATAAAAAGAGCCTTGAACTGTACTTGACATTTTAAGGCATTACTGCATGTCTGATGAAACTGTAGGGTGAAATGGAATTGTCTTGAAACAAAAGGAACTTAGTGAAAACAATTAACATTAGGAGCGAATACAGAGAAAGACCTGTCAGAACAAGTTTCTGAGGCAGTTCGCACAGCTACCGCGGTAGCCTGTGGCCCAGGGCAGAATGGAGGCCCAGCAGCGCTCATGGCAAGGAGGCTGCGTCATTCTGTTCTGCTAAAGCTATTCTTGCTCAAAGAGCTCACACACCTCATCTTAGGACTGGCATGTCCCAAATTCCAGCATCTTTCTGAATAATTTGATAAAGGAATATTTAGTTAGGTGCTGGGAAATCTGGCATTGGTCCTCCTCCTCCCACTAACTAGTTGTAGGGGCCTAGACAAGTCAATACTCAGCACTCTGGTCATGGGCTTGATGAGTGTCTCAGGATCTTCCCTGAGAAGGGACACTTAGGAGTTAAGGGGACAGAGGAGAGAATTTGTGTTGAAAATCCAACTTTGGGCCATGCCCTGTGCTGGGCTTTAAAAACACATTCGTCTTGGCAACAAACTGGCAAGGTAGATAATTGTGTCTCCGCTGTACCTACGAAGACATGATCATAAGGCGGGGCTAAGAAGTGACAGAGTCTGATCTCACCCTGTGTCAGTCTGGTGCCACACAAGGCTGCCCTTCCTGACACCACTCCAGACACTCTTACAACTGACTCTTGCCTGGAGTGTAAAGATGACCCATCCAGGCGCTTCAGCCATCTATAGACTTTCACTGACTGTCCTGCATTTCCCAAGCATAAAAAATTAGGACCCCTGGAGAGTACCCCTATAATCTTCCTTTCATCCAGGCCATCACTGTTAATGATTATTTTTGCATCAAATATATACTATTGTGCTACCTGTCTTTTCCCTTAATAATATAGCATGAACATCTCCTTATGTTAATAAATAACTATTTTAATATTTCATATTAAGGTTACATTACACTATGTTATAATCAGTCACTTATTAATGGATTTTTCAGTTGTTCTAATTTTGTACTGCCTTAATAATCAGTAAAAATAGACAACATCATATGGAAAAAATACTAGGGTACTGAAGTGATTTTTAAAGGAAATACAGTAGGCCAAAAAGTAAATCAAGAGCCTCACCTTAATTAACCTTTTTTTGTCTTCCTCTAATTTTTGCTTGGAATCAAAACTGCCTACAACACAGGAATACCCTTTAATAAACCAACAGGCAGGTGAAATGAAATCCATCTGTGGGCCCTGGGTCCCAGGATTCTTTATAGCATCCTTCAACCCTACTTTAAAAAGGCAGTCCTGCTATTTATATGGAGAAAAGAAGTTGACAGCTATATGAAGGGATTCTAGCTGAAAGTGAAATGTACACACAAAAACAAATTTAGTTTTGCGGTTAGTTGAAAATTCACATCTGGTATGGGCTTTTCTTTAATTAAAGTGTTTCCCCCTCCCATGCAATGAGAAAATACTCTTACAGTGCTGATTGAGAAACCGAAATAAGAGCAAAAGCTCTTTGAAAATTCTGAGGCTTAAGTAAAGCTGCTTTAAAAGCTGCTATGTGGACCAAACAACTTAGATATTTCCTAACAGGATTTTCTAGAGTTCCAGTAAATCTTCCTCTCAGTCACTTCTTTGTTCTACTTTGGTCAAAACCCAAATCAAGCAATACAAAGGTCACACACATAGCCAGAGAAGCAAACATACACATATACACCCACCCACATACTTGCTTTAAAATTAAAATTATATTTAACTAAAATTAGTTATATAATATATATTATTTATATATAAACTATCTCTCTTCATTACTTCTTTTTGATACATTTGAAAGTGGGATGCTATGAGGGGTGCCTAGGTGGCTTAGTTGGTTAAGCGTCTGCCTTCGGCTCAGGTCATGATCCCAGGGTCCTGGGATCAAGCCCCACATTGGGCTCCCTGCTCAGATCTCTCTCCCTCTCCCCCCTGCTCGTGCTCTCTCTCTCGCTCTCTCTCTCTCAAATAAATAAAAATCTTAAAAAAAAAAAACTGGGATGCTCTGAGATTCATAAAACTTAGTTCTATCTGAATTTTTAAAAAATGATCATAATGAAGCATATAAATGAACCGCTGTGACAGGGGTGGATCAGATGTGACAAGGGTAACATTTCTTGCTGTGATAAGAAATACTACCCTTTTGATCAACTGCTGGGGTTTCTCCTGTTATTTCCCCCTCTTGAGCTCTTCCTCTGAAAGAGTGGTCAAGAGAGGAGAAATAAGGCTGAGGCTAGAACAGGGCTCAGCCAGCTTCCTAGTAAGACCCTGGTAGACAACCAGCCCCTGAGGTCAAGCACCTCCCCAACTGTAAGAGAACATTTACACCTTACTAGAGGCCAGGATGGTTCAGGCTACACTTAAATGATAGCCGTTTTGACCGCGTGTAATGGACTCATGACCTAATAGGCTGAGAGATCACTGGAGACTAAGGAAGAGAGTCCACCTTCCGCAAAGGCCCCATAGATTGGCTACTCCTAGGACCCCTGCCAGGGGGAAGGGGCCTTGGTGGATTCTCTTTGGTTTCCCTCATATGTGGGATGCATCCTGATTTCTTATAATACTTGGTATTGCCATTTGTCCACACTCACAGAGCAGCAATATTGGCCCGTTAGAGTATAGGTTTTATTTTCCTAATTTGCTCCCAAACTACAGATGCTAGACACCGAAGAATGGAAAAAGAAAGGATGCCCGTAAGAGGGCTGAAAAAACACTAATAGTCTGCATTCTAAAGTCCTGCAAGCAGAACAGAGTCGCTAAAGTAAAACATACATGATCCAGCAGAGACCATTTCTAATAAAAAATACAGAACTTTCACAAATGTAGAGAATAATGCATGAAGACTTTCTGTGACATATGTATGAGTCACACATAAATGGAACTTCAAACTAGAATATTTCTTAGAATATAAGCAGTCAGAAGTAAGAAAAGGTCATGTGGTCCTGACATGCATTTCACGCTAGTGGTTAAAAACATGTATTAAAAAAAAAAAATAAAGCACTGTCAAAATAATGATCACATTGGTAATTACAGACAGGCTGGCACAACAGGAGAACTGACTCTTTGATCTTAAAAGATCAACATTTCTTTTTTTAGATTTATTTATTTGAGAGAGAGAGCGCGTGAGCATCGGGGGAGGTGGGGCAGAAGGAGAGGGAGAAAGAGTCTTAAGCAGCCTCGGTGCTGACCATGGAGCCCAACGTGGGGCTCAATCTCACGACCCTGAGATCACAACCTGAGCCGAAGCCAAGAGTCAGACACTTAACCGATTGCACCACCCAGGCGCCCCTTGAAAGCTCAACATTTCACTTTGGTTTGAGGTAGACAGATATTTACAAAAGGTAGTGTAGCAGTTGAGAATTGAAACCTATGGTCGAACTGCTTGATTTTGAATTTCTACTCTATATCCTAGTGACATAATCTTTGGAAATTGTATTAATCTTTCTGTGCTTCAGTTTCCTCATTTGTACAATGTGGATAGTAACAGTACCTCTACCATAGTGCTGCTGTGAGGATTAATGAGATAATGCATGTGAAAAGTTTAACCCAGGGCCAACTGGCTACTGTTGTTATGATTATCATTACTCCCGGGGCCAAAGTAGCTCACTCACCTAGATGAGTGTCCATCACCTTTGCACAGTATTTGCACATGGCATCCAGGTCATTCAACTGTCCTTGAAGGAAGGAAATTTGGGCTTCTAATTCTTCTTCCTAAAATGAAAGGGGTAAAGATATGGAAATTTTATTTATTTTTAAAGATTTATTTATTTTAGAGAGAGAGAGAGAAAAAGAGTGTGTACACTCGAGCTGGGGGGAGGGGCAGAGGGAAAGAATCTTCTAGCAGACTCTCCACTGAGTGCGGAGCCCAATGTGGGGCTCAATCTCAAGACCCATGAGATCATGACCTGAGCCAAAACCAAGAGTCAGATGCTTAACTGACTGAGCCACCCAGGCACCCCGGTATGGAAATTTTAAAAAATTCAAATAAAATCCCCAAAGGTCTCCAAAAGATTTGGACGACTTTAAAGAGGCACAATGTCTTTTCAGTCACAGACAAACAAAAGAAAATAGCAAGTAAACAAGAGCAAACCTACCACTGCCACCACCAGCAAAATAAGAGAAAGGGTAAAGTGGAGTTTTAAAAAAATCTGGACTTGAATCCGAGCTTTGTGCCATGTGTTAATGCTTACCCATACAACCCTGTACAAAAAGAATCCATACAATATCTTCAATAACTGGGCCATACAAATTGAGAGAATAAATGCGATTTCAGTGGACCCTACACCCTAGATAGCCGGGTACAAGAACATTACATTTCCTCACACACATTTGGGGAACCAGAGACAATGATAATCTCTTAAAATGTAAAGATTTCCCAAAGCACTTGGAAAAGCTTTGCCCCTACAGCCCATAAATAGCTGCTCTTACATTTCCTCTTGTGATATGACACCAATGAATTTTATTTATGTGATTGTTTCTAGGAAAAAATACTCTGGGTTGAATAATTATCTAAATGGTAAAAGACAATCTAACTGTAACAACAACAACAAGTCTTTTTTTTTTAAGGAAAAAAACATACATGCAAAAAAATTTCTCAAGGAAATTTAGAAGATTAAGAGAATTTTTCTCAAAGCGAGAGAATACAGGCATACCCTAGAGATACTGTGGGTTCGGTTCCAGAGCACTGCAATAAAGAGAGTATCACAATAAAGTGAGTGAAATGAATTTTTTGGTTTCCCAGTGCATATAAAAGTTGTGCTTATATAAATTTTAAAAAAGCTACGTTTACACTATACTGTAGTCTATTAAGTGTGCAATAGCATTATGTCTAAAAAAACAATGTATATACTTTATTGCAGGGCACCTGGCTGGCTCAGTCATAGAGCATGTGAATCTTGATCTCAGGGTTGTATGTTTGAGCCCCATATTGGGTGTAGAGATTACTTAAAAATAGAATCTTGAAAAAAATACTTTTTTGCTAAAAATGCTAACTATCATCTGAGCTTTTTGCCGTTGAGGACTCTTGTCTCCACATTGATGGCTGCTGACTGATCAGAGTGGTGGTTGCTGAAGGCTAGGGTGGCTGGGGCAATTTCTTAAAATAAGGTAACAATGATGTTTGCCATATTGATTGACTCTTCCTTTCATGAACGACTTCTGTGTATCATGTGATGCTGTCTGATAGCATTTTAGTCACAGTAGAATTTCTTTCAAAATTGGAGTCAATCCTCTCAAACCCTGCTGTTGCTTCATCAACTAGTTTATGTGATAATCTAAATTCGTTGTCATTTCAACAATCTTCACAGCATTTGCACCAGAAGATTCCATCTCAAGAAACCACTTTCTTTGCTCATCCATAAGAAGCAACTCCTCATCCGTTAGTTTTATCATGAGATCGCAGCAATTCAGTCACAGCCACAGGCTTCACTTCTAATTCTAGTTCTCTTGAATTTCCACCACATCTGCAGTGGCTTCCCCCACTGAAGTCTTGAACATCTCAAAGTCATCCGTGAATGCTGGAATCAGCTTCTTCTAACCTCTTGTTAATGTCAATATTTTGACCTCTTCCTATGCTTCATTAATGTTTTTAATGGCATCTGGAATGGTGAATTCTTTCCAGAAGGTTTTCAATTTACTTTGCCCAGATCCATCAGAAGAATCACTATCAATGGCAGCTAGAGCCTTACAAAATGTATTTCTTTAATAGTAAGACCTGAAAGTCAAAATTGCTCCTTGATCCATGGGTTACAGAATGGATGCTGTGTTAGTGGCCAAGAAAACAACATTAATCTTGTACATCTCCATCAGAGCTCTTGGGTGACCAGATGCATTATCAATGAGCAGTCATATTTTGGAAGGAATCTTTCTTTTTTTCTGAGCAGGAGGTCTCAGAAGTGGGCTTAAAATATTCAGTAAACCATGTTATAAATAGATGTGCTGTCATTCAGGCTTTGTTGCTCCATTTATAGAGCACAGGCAGAGTAGATTCTAGCATAATTCTTAGGGGCCTTAGGATTTTTAGAACAGTCAATGAGCACTGGCCTCAACTTACAGTCACCAGCTATATTAGGCCCTAATGAGAGTGAGTCTGGTCTTTGAAGCTGATGCCAGGCACTGGCTCCTTCTCTCTAGCTATGAAAGACCTAGACAGCAACTTCTTCCAACAGAAGGCTGTTTTCATCTACAATGAAAATGTGTTGTTTAGCGCAGTCACCTTCATTAGTTATCTTAGCTCGATCTTCTGGATCACTTGCTGCAGCTTCTTCATCAGTACTTGCTGCTTCCCCTTGCACTTTGATGTTATGGAGATGGCTTCTTCCCTTAAACCTCACGAACCCACCTCTGCTGGCTTCAAACTTTTCTTCTGCAGCTTCCTCACCTCTCCCAGCTTTCATAGAACTGAAGAGGGTTAGGACCTTGCTCTGGATTAGACTTCGGCTTAAGAGAATGTTGTGGCCAGTTTGATCTTCTATCCAGACCACTCAGACTTTCTCCCTCTCAGCAATGAGGCTGTTTCTCTTTCTTATCATTCCTGTGTTCACTGGAGCGGCACTTCTAATTTCCTTCAAGAACTTTCCTTTGCGTTCACAACTTGGCTAACTGTGTGGTACCAAAGGGCGAGCTTTCAGCCTATCTCAGCTTTCAACATTCCTCTCTCACTAAGCTTAATCATTTCTAGCTTTTGATTTAAAGTGAGAGATGCGTGACTCTTCCTTTTGCGTGAACACGTGGAGGTCACTGGAGGGTTATGAATTGGCCTCATTTCAATATTGTGTCTCGGGGGATAGGGGGCCCAAGGAGGGGGAGATGGATGGGGAAATGGTCAGTGGAGCAGTCAGAACACACACATTTATTAAGTTCATTATCTCAAATGTGTGCAGTTGGTGGCACCTCTAAACACTTAAATAGTAACATCGAAGATCACTTATCACAGATCACCAAATACATTAATAATGAATGAATTTGAATGAAATACTGCAAGAATTACCAACATGTGACACAAAGACATGAAGTGAGCAAAATGCTGTTGGAAAAATGGTGCCATTAGATAGACATGCTTGATGCAAGATTGCCACAAACCTTCAATTTGTAAAAAATGTAATATCTGCAAAGTGCAATAAAACAAAGTATGCCTGTAATCCTCACCTGTAGGAATTTTTAAACCAAGTTTGTGACAATACAAAGAAAGGATGTTGCCAGAGGTTGAATAGGCTAGAAAATTGATTTTCCAGTCTTAGGTGCTTACTCTTTCACGTAAGAATCTTCTGTGTTGTTAAAAAGAAAGCAAGAGCAACTTAATGAGACCTGCCTTTTTCTTAGCGATGGAGTATACTTGGACTTATAGATGGAAATTAACAGTTGAAAAGGTTACTTGTAGGTGTATTACATCTTAGCAATATACAATGCAGCACTGAAAAGTATTGTTTTTAACTACTACATAGAGAATGAGCCTTTAGAAATAGGCATTTAAAAGCCTGACACAGAAAACAGACATAGCAGTAGCTCTAAAACCAAATTATTGTAAAATGCCCACTGTAGGATACACCAGCACTAATCGTGCTCCTTACATATGGCACAAAAGGAGCAGCTCAAATAATGACCAGAAGTAACTCAGCCAAGGAATGATCAGAAGGGCAGGGCAGGGTAGGTGGGTGCCACCTTTCTAACTCTTTGGCTGGGCTTTGAGATGGAAAGGGATGGGTGTTTTGGGGCATTTTTCTTCTCCCTTTTCTCCTTTGTTTCTGCACAGGCTTGAGTTTTTCCTGTTCTGTCAGGGCCCTAGGAATTAGGGAGAGAAGGCTACATCTGCTGGTTAACTACGGTCATGGTTAGTCTCCAAGATGGCCACCATCAATTCCTTCCCTCCCTCAATGTATATGCTGTTCCTCTCATTGAGAGGGAGTAGTGTCTGTTTTCCCTCCCCTTGAATCTGGGCTGGCCTGTGACTTGCCTTGACCCAGAGAATGCAGTAAAAGTCACACTGTCAGTTCTGGACTAGTGTAAGAAGCCTGCCAACTTCTGCTTACTTCTGCTAGAGGAAGATGGCTACCAAGCTGTAAAGAAGTTCAGGCTAGAATACTGACAGAGAGAAGAGAAAATACGGAGAGAAAGAGGCCATGGGAGAAGCACTGAGGTTCTAGACATGGAAATGAAATCTTCTGGGACCTTTCTGCCCAATCCATCTGAAGCCAGCTAAGTGAGCGACCCAGTCAATGTCACACGAAGCAGAATAGCCCAACCAAATGCCTGACCGTAAGCCTAAGAGAAGTAGCAGTGTTGCTGTTTCAGGGAGTGGAATTTTGGAGCGCTGTGTTATGCTGCAAGAGATAACTGAAGCGGGTAGAACGCACAGAACACTAGGTTGGTATATGGCTCAAGGAAATCACGAGTTCTATTTCTGGTCCTGCCATTAACAAGTCATGTAACCCTAAGTAATCCTCACCCAATCTGGGCCTAAATGCAGCAGTCTTTGGAGAAGGTATAAGTCAGACACTTTGCTTCCAAGGAGCTTATAGTCTTGTAGTTGGGATATTAGTGTTCTATAAATTACTAAAGTATGAGGTAGAGTACATGCAAGCCTTATAATAAGAATAATTGTTTTGGAAATCCTGGTCCCTACCTCCTAACACCTCTACTGAACAAGTCACTTTTTCAGTGGGTTACAGACACAAACCCAGCCAGATGAGCTCAGAACTGTAGCGAGGCCAGAG